TGCTACATTGAGCATCTGCAAGGATCTGGACATGGTCTTCATCTTCTGCCTGACCGGAGTTCGAGGAACCCCTCCTGTAACACCATAAAAAGGGAATTTCAGATACACTGGGTGGGGTAGGAACATCAAGTTAGAACAACATAGAATTCTGTATTGCAGTCAAGCAAGGTAAGTAACCATTAGTTAAGAAAACACTCTAGAAGGTTTTTATTTCCCCATAAAATAGATGTACAAGCAGCACAGGAGGCAGTAAGTTCTTAAAGTCAAAAGCAGACGAAGGCTTTTGCTCTGCTTATAAAGTAGAATCAGACGCTGTATATATAGGAAAGAAATCTTGAGCTGACTTAAGTATACATCAGATGAGTTTATATGCACCTTTGGTTTGTATATTAAAAAGCAATGAAACTCTTATTTGAAACTTCTCCAGTTTCAAATAAAGTAGAGGTGTTCCAACATTCAGAAGTTGAAGTGGTCCCTGTTCCAAGAACCAGTGAAACTGCAGAGCTCTGCACTCTGCTCTCTTAACAGTTTTGTCAGTCACTGAGTACCCTGCATTTAGGAGTCATTTGGATTGTTCTAAACAATAATACTGATACATAAGTTACGCTGTCTTTAAAATGGAGAAAAAGCCTAAAGCATGCCACTACTCATCAGTAGTACTCATCCTGAGTACTGATCATTAGGGTTTATGCAATAAGGTTTCTCTATCATCTTTCATTGATAAAATACACATAATCCCACACTATACATACGTCTTTTTTTGTTATTTCCTGCTCCAGCAGATATTTCCCTTGATTTTCTTTGGTACAGCTCAGATAGACTTTCTGAAAGTTCCGCTTCAGATTGGTCTTCATCATCCTTCACATTAGTACATGGAACCTGTAGGAGTCTACAGACAAGGACAAGTCAATACAGGTATGAAAAGCAGTGGAGAAGAAAGCATACTACTTGTTCTTACTCCACAGGACCTGTTTTTCCTACATCCAAGCAGTAGGAAAACACAATTCTATACCACAAGCAACACGTCAGTATTCTTCCAAAGCCTGTTCCTAAAAGCCTTACTTAAGAAACACTGAGGAAAAACAAAAAGCAATCTTAAAAGAACTGCACCAAAGTGAGAAGAAGCATAGCATTGTTTCAGAAAAGTACCTGAATGAATCCATCAGATCTGAGCTCGCTCCACAAGCATTTGAAGAAGAATACCACGCTTCAAGCACTGAAGAATGCCAGCCCCCTGTACTGGACAGCTCTCGTTGGACCCACTCTGGCATAGGAGTTTCTTCTGAATAAAGAAATAAATATATCAGAACAAAGCTTTAAATGAATTGGTAGAAAGCTTGGCCTTCACAAAGACTAAGGTAGCAGTTCCCAAAGCTCTGCTCATGGAGGGGCAGTTTACTTGCCAGGCTTAGAGACCCATAAGATCCACAACACCACAAAACAGGTGAGCCAAATGCAGTTATCTTGAAAGCACTCGTAAAGATTTGACTGGCCAGGGATGATCCATATGACAATTTTTAGGAACCCTCATCATAAAAACCTGCACCCAAGCATGCGCAGCTGTGCTTTATCCATAAGCCAATAAAAACTAACACTGTCAATAAAAGTACATCAGGGCAGACTTCTGCATAATACAGCCTGAGCCACAAAATGAACAAGCCCCAAGAAATGAGACTCCTCACTAAGGAACTCATAAGCACCAGAGTCTTCCACCCCAAATCAGATCTAGAGATGAACAAAAGACTTGCTTTGCATTTCCTAACACCTACCTGTATCAACCACAGAGTCTTCCACTGCCATGTCTATTTCACTCAACACACTGTGTACAACATCTGGGAGATGCAAAGCATCATCCTGGGAAGAGGTCTCTACTACAGCTCCCTCAAGGTTGCATCGCTGAACTTCAGCTGTCTTTTCAGTACAGAACAGAGTGAGGACAGCAGTACTCTCAGAAAGCGGTGATAAAACAGCAGTGCAGGGGCACGAAGATTTAGTTTGAGACACTTCAGCAATCTACATTAAAAAAGAAAAAGTATTTACATTTTCTAGAAATACACAGAGACTTAATTAGATGGATGTTCTGAATTTAGCTCCAAGTGACCAATTTGCTGCATAACAAATACCACTGCTATTGCCTTTGATGATATTATGTGTGAGACTGTCACCTTTCCTGCCACAGTTCATTTAAAACTAGCTACTAGCTTATGGCAAAGAGAAAGATTTACCATGTGCAGTTCTTTCATCACTAGATTCCGTAACAGCTGATAGAACCAGTTCTGCTCTGTGCATTCAGTCTCAGAGCTTCTCAGTATCCAGCTCTCTGTGAGAAAGCTGACAGCCTGCATCCAGTTCCAGCTCATCATGCTGCCTTTCAGGATGATGTTGAGTGGACAATGCAGTTGTCTTTGGCTCATGGCTAGAGGTTCCAGAATCACAGCACAGCTTTCCTTCTTTCCTTCTGTGTAAGGGTAAAAGAAAGTATAAGTCTAGAGCAGTACAAAATGTATTTCTCACCTACATGAAGAGAACTTCAATGCAAGAAAAACAAATTGCAACATCAGACAGCTCTACAGTGAGTTCCCTCCAGCTTCTCTCATGAAAGAGTGCGGAAAGGGCCTGCTAAAGAAAGAACAGATGTACACAACATGTTGCTTTAAAGCTAATCTGTTTCTTCTCACAGGCCTTTCAATTAATTTCTTTAGTTCAACTATATTGAAGGAACTGAACTAAGTATGTAAAAAAGAGTGCACACACCTCTACAGTGTGCGCCCAGCAAAGAGCTCAGACTCCTAAGCTTTCCCAAAATTTGAGTACAAAGAGAGCACACCAGGAATACAGACCAAAAGCTCTCATATCAAAGCAATTAGAGCACCTCAATAACTTTGTTAATAAAAAACCAGGTCTTTAAATACCTGAAGTTTCTGCCATACATACTCTTCATAAGGGAAGCTGAAAGAAATCTACATCACAGACCAATTATTACGTCTTAAAAAAAGAAGAAAGATTACCAGGCATGCTGAGAAATAATGTCCCTTCTTGTTGGGGGAACACTGCACGAAATACAGAGGGCTTCGAAAACAAACTGTTCAAGGCTGAGTCGGATGGCAGAAGTGTTGTCCACGGCACAGTCTGTGGCACTGTGGAACCCGAGTCTCTGAGAAAGACATCAGCAAGGTGTGCCCTGTGGTGACTCGGACATTGCACTAAGGTTTCAGATGGCAAAATGGTGCCTCCTACTTGCTGGAGCAGTTGGAGCATTATCCAGTATCCATCGTGATCCGGCGATTTAATCAGCTGAAATGAAGACACAGAAAGGCCTTAAGTTAACGCTACCCAAAGAGGCAGTGGATATTCCACCCCTAGAAGGCTGGGCTCTGAGCACCTGATTGAGCTGTTTACTGCAGGAGAATTGGACTAGATCTTTAAACGACCCTTCTGATTCTATGATTCTAATTCTAGTAGTGAGATTATATCCATCCAACCAACCAGCAAGGACTGCACTGCATCACTTTAGAAGAACCAGCATAAGAATTCTATACAGAGTATCTCAATGCAGCATCTTCCAAGTATTTTCAGTGACTTTACTTTTCTCGGGAAGGTAACAAAGATAAAACTGCCACTGAATTAAGGCGTAACCAATATTTTCAAGTGTGGGCTTTTTAATTTAGTATTAAGGTACTCAAACTGTTGGGCTGCCATTCCGGATACCCGTAACTTCCACCCAACTCCAAGCACGAAACAGCCCATCAATAAACTGCCGATAGAGCTCAGCCTCCACAGGGATCATCGCTCCTCGTTTTCAGCCTCGTGCAGAACAGAATCACTCAGCAGTAAGCGAAGACCCTTCACACCTCCCCCACTCAAAGATCACAACCGAGAACAACGGGAGGACGGCACACAAACCCCTATCGGCACTGCAACGCAGAGCCGCGCTCCCTTCACTCCTCACCTGCGAGCTCTCGGCGGTGTCCACCCAGTACAGCGTGATCCTCTGCTCGGCCAGCAGCTCGCGAACGCTGCGGGGCAGCAGCTTCTCGGCCACCTCCTGCAGCGCGGGGGGCTCCGCGGGGACCGCGCCGCCTCCGGACACGAACCGCCGCAGCTCCCGGCCGGAGCGGGGACACGGCGAGAAGAGGAACACGGCGTTCACGAAGCCGTCGCTCGGGGAAAGCTCCCCGCCGTCCCCGCCGCTCCCGCGGGGCGCTTTGGCAGGGGACGCGATTTCGGGGCGGTCCCACTGGAAATCGAGGAGCGTTTCCTTCAGGCCGCTGTGCGTGAGGGCGAGGCGGGTCGCCGGGCCGGGCAGCGCGGCGGAGGAGCCCCGAGCTCCCAGCCGCTCCGCCAGCTCCTCCTCGAAACGCGCCCAGGCCCGGGGTGCCGGAGGACGGAAGCCGCCGCCCCGCGAGGCCCCGCCGCGACCCCCGAGGGAGTCGAAGAAGCGGTAGGCCCAGCGCAGGCGGGGCAGGCCGAAGCGGCAGCACAGGTGGTTGAGGAGGCGCAGGGTGCACAGCTGCAGCCGCTCCCGCCGCCCCGGGCTGGCGGCGTCCAACAAGAACACGGCGCTAGGTGAGCACGCCATGGCGGGCCGCCCGCCCGCAGCGCCTTACGGAGCTGCCATCCCTACGCGCCCACCGCCGCCATCATCTTCTCCAACCGCTCGCGCGCTCTCACCGCGCGCTCTCATTGGCCGCCCCTCGAGCCCGCCCCCTCCGCTCCTCGCTTAATCATTGGACCGCTGGCGCAGCGTAGGGGGTGGGGACGCGCTTGCGCGGTGAGCCGCCCGCTCTGTGCGCCACCAGGTGAGGGCGGAGCGGAAGAGCGGAGCGAGAGCGGCCGTTGGAGAGGAGTTCTCCGCCCAATGGCCACCGGCCTTTCGCAGCGGGGTGGAGCGTGGCGTTCCATTGCCCAGTGCCCGTGACGCACTAAGGGAGGGCGGGGCCAGCGGTGCGAGCGAGCTGATTGGTCGCTGCTGCAAATTTAAAATTTAAAGGCGGGAGTGGAAAAAATAGCAATTTAGGCACAAGTTTGCTGTGCAGGAGATAATGCACCCCATGAGTGGCCAAGGAAGCGTCCTGTGAGTGACCTCTATGCTCAATCAGGGCTGGTTGCACGCCAAAGACTCCTGTGGGTATGGTGGTAACGAGACAGCAGCTGTCCCTGTCAAATCTGGACTCTTCTACCTGTAACACACGTGTCCAGCAAAGTGGAACCGATTAGAAACTGCAAAGACCGATTTGTGAACAGCCACACGTAAATAGTGCGCTTCTGTTTGGGGGTGCTGCTTTGTGACCGATCCCAAGCACTGAATGCTGCAGAATTAAAACAGGCCTTCATGTGGGTTCCAAACATGTGAGCAGTGTTAATGAGCTGGAACTGGGCTGGGGCTGTCCCACTGAGAGCAAGGAAGGACCCTGGCTAAGTGGGCAGCCCAGGGTACCCGGCCTGGCTCCGGCCCCACCGCTCCCTTGCTGGCGTCAAAGCCATTTCTTGGCTTGCCCAAGACCTGTCCTGTGGGCTGGGAGCCATGGCCAGGCCCCAAGAGCTGATGGGACTGCTCTCAGCCCTATACATCACCAGCATGTGCCAGCCCTGACAAAGAGCCTTTGAGCTGTCGTTGCCACTATTGGCAGCTGGCATCCATCCCAGCAGCCTGACCAGGACACTCAGCACAGTGTGACCGAAACCACCTTACTTACCATGGGCTGCCTGGGACCAGAAATACAGTCAGGGCACGGGGACAGCATGGCAGTTCCCAGTGTGGCACCCTACAGCCCTGCTCTGGTTACAGCCACCTCCCTTCTCCCCGTGCTGCTCCCTCCCTTCCCGCTCCAGGTGTTTGCTCCTGAGGCTGATCCAGCTCTCAGGAAAGCCACAGGAGACAGCTGAGCCCCAGGGAACCTGCTTGTTTGGCAGCTGGAGCAGCTCACACCACTCCTTGTCACACTGTCCTGCTGCTCACTGGATCGTTCGCCCTCTCCACCCACTCCCCAAGGACACCACTGACTTCTCTTTCCAGCAGAGCCACTGGGCTCTCGCTGGGCAATCATTTACTTGCTGATAAATGCAGTTTCATGGGAAGAAGGGAAGGATGCCAGAAAAATCATTTGTAGATTGGGCTCACGTTTGGTTGGCACTTTGACTTGAAAAGTTTTGGTTTGGGGTTTTGTTTGTTTGTTGGTTGGTTGGTTGGTTGGTTTTATTTTTGTTTTTTACTTAGAAAATTCTTGATCCATTTTGGACTGTTTCCAATGTTTCTGAGTGATATTTATTGGCTGCATATAAAACCCCACACCTAAATGAAAGATCTGATCTCCTGCTGTACCAACGCTCTCTTCAGCACCAGAGGAAAGTTTGTTTTCTGTTCTGCCGAGCCAGGCAGAAAGTTTTGTTTTGGATTGCCTCAAATGTTTTGCTTACAGGACACTTCTCAAGGACCTGCACAAGAAAGAAGTCACCTGAGATGCTGCACAATGCCTGGAAACTGCCCTGTGCTTCATGAAAGCTTTGGATCCTCCTCACATCCCCTCACTTTTCCCATGCTGTGTGCCCAGCACTGCTGGTAGTGGCTGCTGTTCCTTTGCTCCTAATTATGGAGGAGCAAATTGAGAGGATTGGATGTGCTTGTTGGACATTAAAGACTGCAGAGATGATTTTGGTGTTGTGAATGCCTGCAATTGAGGCAAATTCCTTGTTTCTCTGTCTTAATGGATGAGATCCGTTGCCATCTGTTTGCCAGCATGAGCTCCAGCATAAATCCGGGAAGGAGCAGGATATGTCCCACCACTCTCCCTCCAGACGAGGGTGATCACTGGCACATACCTTCTGAGGTCACCTCTGGGACCAGTGCCTGTGTCCCAGCACTGGTAGTGATAAGATCTGCTGGGACAGTTCGCAGTGAACCAAGGAGTCCCCATGCCCTCCTCTCCTGGGCAAAACTGCCCAGAGTGCTCCAGGCAAGAGGGAGGGATTTCTGCACACTTCAGATTTTGTGTTTATGCCTCTCAAATATTTTTAGTGCTCATAAAATTGAGAAACTGGGAGAGACCCAGCTGGGACCAGTATGGTACAACCCTCACCCAGAGCCTTCCCAAGGCGACTGGGACCTGCCCAGTCCCATGTCTCATTTCAGAAGGACAAATAGACCTGTTCCAAGTCTCTTGCACAAGCACAACCCAGCTGATTTCTCTAGGAAATCCTGGGGAGGAGTGGGGGAAGGGGGGAGAGGGAGTTGCCTCTCAGATTCATTTTCAGTCACACATATCTTCATGGGGAAGTGATGGTGGCTGAACCTCAAGGGTGCTAATTGCTGTGAGGGAGGGGAAGGGCAGCTTGCAATGAATCTGGTTTTATGGGTGCTGGATGTGATGGGACAACCCTGATGTGGAGTTTCCAGTATTGCCCATTTGAGCAGCCTGAGAGCAGCTGCTACTGAAAGAGGTTCCCAAATCACGGGTGGGTACCAGCGGCTGAGGGGTGAGTCTCGAGTGCGAGCAGCCAGTGGAGCATGACCAGCTCCAACAGGCCAGTAGAACATGGTGATGATCTGCAGATTGATAAGAAGGGGCCATGCAAGGCAGTGCAGCAAGGTGAGACTATCAGGCCAGTGGAAAAGCTATTATCTTTTGTGCTCTGCCTGCAGAGGTTGGGTAGGGAGGCAGGGACAGAGCTACTGCCATGGGATGGCCCATGCTGGTCCTCCTGGGCTCTGCAGGATCAGGGCTTTGCACATTTGGGAGACTTCACCAATTCAGTGAGAACCCAGATTGGAAAGATTTGCAGTGTGATTTCTTCTGCTGAAATGCAACTATACAGTGTAATTGCTAGTGACTATGCTATCAGGATATAGCAAGTTCCTTTATGTTGTAAAATGCTCCTTTGTGCCTCTGTGTCTCCTATCTCAAGATTTCTAAGAGCTGCTGCAGGGCGGGGTTGAAGTCTGGTCCTGCCATGAGGCTGTTAGGAGAACACACAACTATCAACAGTGCTTCTGGCAATCAGCACTCCAGTACTGCTTAAGGTTCAGCTTCTTTCTGGCTGAAGGTCTCAGTGTGTACAGCTGCAACTGCCCTACAGAAATCACAGGTAATGGGATGCCCAATGAATGTCACATAGATAGCTCAGCTGAGCAGCAGCACAGCTTACTTGCTGCTCTACTCCCAGATGACCCTACATGGTTATGCCTGTTGCTGGCTTGTTGTTCTGCCATAGAGAAGTGTTCCTTGCACCTGATCTGCATTTCCAAGGCTTTTTCCAAAGCCCTGTATGGGGCCCAAATGAGATCTGACAGTGATTTTATGTAGCCATCAGTCTCTTCAGGATCATCCCCAGCATTTTTCTGCCATTTGTCAGTTTGAGAAGAAAGGAAACAAGAAATAATAATCAACTCAAATTATTGCCTAATCAACACAGAAATCAGTGCTGCTTGCTCAGCCTGCAGGCCACAATTAGATGCCATCAGCAAATTCGGGCAGCTTGCCTGGGCTGCAGTCTTTCATCTCTGGAAGACTGACAGGCCTCTCTCGGATCTGCAGGCAGAGGAAGGAGCTGGGATGCGTTTGAAGGACTTGGCTCGTGGGGAAGGAACACATGGTTCAAAACCACAGAAAAAGGAAAGTTATGTTTTATATAACACTAAAGGAAGCCCTATGCTGGAGGAGGGGACATTAACTCTGCAGCTGAGGGTTGTAGTGCCAAGCTCTTCAGCCTCCTTTCTGTCACCATCTCGGGGCACTGCCCTGGTCCATGCAGCTCAGCTTAGCTTGTCCTGCCAAGAGGACACGGTGGTTAAACCACCAGGAAATGATGAGATGTGTCAGTTCTATATCCCTGTATATATGTGGCAGCTTTGGCAAGGTCACTGCATGCCTGTGCATGATCTTGACTTTTGGTTGGAAGCGCCTATCTTCCTCTTCCTCTTGGGACTGTCCCGCAGACTTTCTTCCCATCAGTAAAGAGCAGGACCTGCGCCCAGTGACTCAGGCTGACTTGGTATCCTCGGTACTGGTGTTGGAAAAGGGCATGTGCAGAGCAGGGCCATAGTGAGGGGAGAAGGATATGATGCAGGCAGGGAAGCTGCCAGGGTGGCATGGTCAGGTCCAGGTCCAGGAAGGGGACAGGAAGGGGTGTGGGGCAGGACTGAGCAGGGGGCTGGACACCCAGGCTCCATAGCTAGGAGTCCCAGGGAGGCAGGACTCATTACTGCAGCAAGCCACTGGGAGAAGACGTGCTGGAGCCCTGTCCTTCCTCCCAGAGAGGAAGGAGGGTGAGAGCACAGAGCAAGCCTGGAGCCTCCCGCATCTGAAATGTGATCCTGCTAGAGGCACCTCCCTGGGCCCCACCTTGCGCTCCCCAACATATATATGTCACCTGCCAAGGGCACAGGGGACACGGGCTGACACGCTGTGTCCGGGCCTCAGGCATCCTTGCAGATGGAGCGGACGAGGCACCAGGGGATGGCAAAGAACACCTACATGCGCTGGCGGCTCCCACTCATCTGCCTCCTCTGGGAGGTGGCAATGATCATCCTCTTTGGGGTCTTTGTGCACTTCGGCCCTGAAGCTGATGCACACTGGGAGGAAGAGAAGCATCAGATGAACCTTACCAGTGACATTGAGAATGATTTCTACTTTCGATATCCCTGTGAGTATTCAGGAAGCCCAGTCCCGGTGCTGGCTGGCCACCGTTCTATCCCATCCCATCCCACCCCCACCCCATCCCACCCCATCCCATTCCATCCCATTCCATCCCATCCTGTCCTATCTGTTGTTGCCCCAAGGGTTTTGGGAAAAAGTGATAGGGAGGCTTTGGGATAGTAGTCCTGAGTTTCTAAGTGCTTCTTTTGTCTTTCCCAGTTAAATCTGGCTTGGGACAGAGGTGAAGTCTCCAGTGATTGCTGGGGAGTTGAGCTTCACCTTGACACTGCTTTGGGGTGCCTCAAAGAATGAGAGAAGAATCTTGTGGCCCTCCAGTGCTCTGGGGATCTGTTGACAGGGTGCCACCAGTATGTGATGTCTTTTCTCCAGGAATAGGGCTGACGCATTCCCAGCACCCTGCAAGTTTCAGCTTGCTGCCCCCTCGCTTGGTTTCCTTGTACATACGGAGGAACGGCTGTCGAGATCCTGTGACATCTTCCCCCTTTTCCTATGCCCTCCCCCTCACTATCTCTTTAGCTGCTGCCATTTTGATGAGTCCTCCCAACCTGCCATGGTCCTTCGGTCACTATGCCTTATTGCCATGGGGATTGCTCAGGTGGTCAAAGCTTTTCAGGCCAGGTGGTACACTTGGCTGGCTTTGATCTCTGGGGCTGGTCATCTTCTTTGTGAGCTGATGGGAACAGGCTGCTTCTGTAGGCAATTGTTTCCAAGGAAGCAACGGGCTTGAGTCATGCATCTATTTAGAATATTTCCATTAAAAAACACCTGCTAAATCAAAGGAGCTATAGAAACCTGTAGCTGCAGAGGATTAACTGGTTCAGAGAAGGATTTGCCTGCAGAAACTTGCTGCTCAGCTGGTTAGTGTGAGCCATGGCTGCCCTGAGTTCTCCTTCTAGACTGCCTGTGGATGTATCCATACAGGTTGATGTGAAGCAGCAGCAGTGCTGCTGTAATCTCTAACAGGACGGGAGAGCAGCAGAGAGGTCGAGAACGAGCCTGTAGGAGCTCAGGACACTGCACCTATACTGTCCTCATCTCCTATCTCCACTTTGAAGCACCAAATATTCCCCTCTTAAATGGCTGAGCGGATTCATGCAGCTAAATCAGCCTCAGAGCAGCTGCTTAGTTTAGCTGAGTTTTATCTGTTTCAAACCTGAGGAAGGGCTCACATGTACAAAGATCAGTTTTGTTTGTTTTTTTTTCCCTCCATTACCTAATCAGAAAAATCTCTCTGCAAAAATAGATGAAACTGGTAAGATGGTAGAAGCTGAGCATTTTGATCCATGTTCATCCAGCTCTGTTTAGAAGAGAATGCAATGGCTAAACACCCGAGGATCATTTGTGTTATCACATCTGTGACTGCTACTGCCTGTAGGACCTGTCCAAAGATGTTGCAATGGGTGAGCAGTGACAGCCTGAGATGATTAGTTACTGTAGGATGTTTGTGCAGTTGTGTCAGTGGTGCCCATTGCCAGGGCTGCCAGTTCAACTCCAGGCAACGTGACACATTCTTCTAATTTATAATCACACATTGATACTCCATAGTGAGTGAATCATCTGCTCTCTAGGGAAAAGAAATGAGATCCTTCAGCACAGGTAGTATTCTCAAAGCCTAAACACCTCCTCTGGATAGTGACTGCAATTGCCTTCCCACAAAAGCAAGGTCACAATACCTCTTGAGCATGGCAGCACCTGGGCTGCCTGCAACACAAGTATTATTCTTCTAAAGGAAAAACAAAGGCAAGATTTAGAAAAATGCTTTAGGCTGGGTGCAGTTTGAAGAAAAGCCTGCTTTTCCTCCTGGGCATTTACAAGGTATAAGACATGGTGGAAATTCTCAGTATTTTCAGAGGGCACACAGTCTGCAGCCTTAACTCCGACCTGTGTATTTCTGCTTTCAGGATGAAATTAAGAATATATATAATGCAAATGGCTGCAGATAATTCTAGCTGCATATTGTGTCACTTAGGCTTGAGAAGAAATGTGGTGAGAAAAAAATATTGCTGCAGAGGGAAAATGTGTGTGACTGCATGGTTAAAACTAGAGTTAAAAAGACCATTTCTCAGAGCATGCAGAGAAGTCCACATGAAGAGACTTCAGCTGAGCAGGGTCACCTGAAGGTCTAGTCTCCTTCATCTCTTATGAGTAATTTCATAGGCGTGGGGGCATTTTTGAAAGCAAACAAATTAACCTGTCTCCTCAACCTGACACTACATTGCTGGAGCCTGTCCAAATGCTTGTCCTTACACAAGTTGCAAGATCTTATAAAGCACCAGAGGACAGAAGCCAAGACTTCTGGAATTGCACACACCCAAATCCTCACCCAGCACACAGCAGAGGCAGTGGGTACAGCGCCACCATCCCTGCAGGAGGGGGTCCAGGGTTCCTGGATGGCCAGGTTGCCTTAGTGCCAGCACAGGGTCAGGAGCACAGCAGATCCTTAATCACTGAATTTCTTCTGCCCTGAGCTTATTACATCTCCTGCTCTTTTCACTGGAGTGGCCTCCAGTGTGAGGGTCTGCATGGTTCAGATTGTAATTATGCAGCATTTCAGCTCACTTAATTGCAAAGTGATGCTTATCTGAAATAAACGTTTAGCATTAAGAAGTACAGCAGGTTTATCGCACCAAGAATTTCCCTCAAGAGGCTCACGCAGGTATAGTTTCCCCCAGGGAAGGGCATCTGAGGGGCTCCAGTTAGCAGGTATGAGCACTTGTTGGAAGAACTGTGTCTCTCTGGTTTAAGCACTCAAAATCCCACAAGGTGGGATCCTCCTGGCAAATGTATCTTGCCACCGATTTCAGTGGCAAATAAAAACACACTGTAAAATTCCCTTGTTCTTGTCTTTTCCCTAAGCGCTTGCACCCAACCATCACCAGGACCCTATACTGCATAGGCTTACCCAGAATGTGTTTTAACCCATTGTGGTTAAAACAAAAATTAGTGTGGTTCATTTGTTGGTACTGTTCATTGTACGTGACATTTTTGGAGGTTGTTTTTTTTTTTTTTTTTTTTTTTTTTAATGGGAAAAAAGACAATCTGAATAGAAAAGTTTTCCTTCATACATTCCATTAGTCCAGTTTTCTCTTGCACACAGCTTGCAACAAAGATATTTGGGTTTCAAAAATGAACATTTTCACCAAGAAGCCAGCTTCCAAAAGCCAGCCATTTTCAGACTTAGAAATGGGAGGACACGAAACAAATGCATGCATTTTTCCTTGAATTTTTTCCTTACTGCCACTGATGTTGTTTCCTTTCACTGCTAAATTCAAATGACACGTAGCTCTGCCTTCTCCTCAGAACTGATGGTTTCTCCCTGTGCACAGCTTTCCAGGACGTTCACGTGATGATCTTTGTGGGCTTCGGCTTCCTCATGACATTCCTCAAGCGTTACGGATTCGGAGCTGTGGGATTCAATTTCCTCCTTGCTGCTTTTGGAATCCAGTGGGCTCTCCTGATGCAAGGCTGGTTCCACTCTTTCCAGAATGGGAAGATCCTTATTGGAGTGGAAAAGTAAGGAGAGATATGGGCTCTGGGATGCCACCTCTTGACTGTGCAGTGGAAGAGCTGGGATGAGAGCCAGTGCCTGTCCCTGTGTTAAGTGCAAACTGCAGCCTCCAAAATGTTGTCTTCCTTCTGCATAACCCCACTTGCTTTCCGCCTTTTAGTCCACAGGTGCCTGTATGATGGTGGTACTGTTACATGAGAAATGTGAGATGAGTGCCATCTCTTAATACCCAAGCAGAGCACCACAGACCCCAAGGTTAAGAGCACATAAGATCCTTCATACTCATTATTTAAACAATTAGGATGAAAGCTCCACACCTGGCTAGGAAAGTTGAGAGGAAAGTCAACGGGAAACCTAACCGACTATATGCTTTACAGCGGGATCTCTAGAGTTCAGTGTGGGTGAGGGTGATTAATTATGGAAGAGTATTTCCTTATAAAATCACAATTTTCCTTCCCCTCTTCCAGCCTGATCAACGCTGATTTCTGCGTGGGTTCTGTGTGCATTGCCTTTGGAGCCATTCTGGGCAAAACCAGCCCAGTACAGCTTCTCATCATGACTTTGTTTCAAGTCACACTCTTTGCAGTGAATGAGTACATCCTCCTCAACCTGCTTCACGTAAGCTTTTGACAGATCCCTTGTCCCCAAGATTGAGTGCAGATTGGAAAGACAGATGGGTAAACAAGCTGGGCAGGATGTAGACCACACCTCATCTCCAGAATAAGCAGTGACTCCAGAAATGAACCTCTGCTTTCCCATGGCTGCAGGTTAAGGACGCGGGTGGCTCCATGACCATTCACACCTTTGGAGCCTACTTTGGCCTCACTGTGACACGTTTCCTATACAGACCCAACCTGGAGCAGAGTAAAGACAGGGAAGGCTCTGTGTACCACTCTGACCTCTTTGCTATGATTGGTGAGTCAGCATTGGTATATGTGTACCACTCAGTTGCAGAAAGCTGTTCCCTCCCATGTCTCTGGGAAAACCAGACCAAAACCCAGATCTGGGACTCAGCTCTGCATCCCACTTTTCAACACCTTGGAACTACTCATCTCCCCTCACTAATGGTTGGGGTGAGGTGGTTCCTGGGAAGCCAAGGTTCCTCTTTTGGTTCCTCTTCACTGCAAGCCCCTTCTGGTGCTGATCCCATCATGGAGGGCACAGCTTTGAGCATCATGACTAGGGAATTTAACTTCGCTCCAAGAAACCTCCTGTAGAGTTCTTTTTTCAACCTCTATATTCTTTCTTTCTTCTTCTTTTTTGCTCCCTCCTCCCCATCCCACCAGGTACCCTATACCTGTGGATGTACTGGCCCAGTTTCAACTCAGCTATTTCTGAACATGGGGATGCCCAGCATCGGGCTGCCATTAACACATACTGCTCCCTGGCTGCTTGTGTCCTCACCACAATGGCCTTCTCCAGCATGCTGCAGAAGAAAGGCAAGCTTGACATGGTAAGCAGGGAGCAGAGAGACCTACACTAGCCAGGGAACTCGCAATGAAGTTGACCAAGGGCCCAGGAATTGGGTGACACTTGTCCTTTGCTGCGCTGGGTTTCACAGTGTGTTGGTGCAACCGGTCTCCTGCCAGAAACTCAGGCTGCACTGAAAAAGCAGGTGGGAAGTGAATCCTGATGTTTTCACAGTGCAAGCTGGTGCTGTCCCTGCATGTGATGTGCTGATGGCACAGCAAGGGCTGCATTTATTCTCCCAAGAGAACTACTGATGGGCATAATGCAGAGCCATGTTTGGCAGCACTCTCCGGCAAGCTGAGTAGGGCCTGTGCAGCAGCTTGTGAGCAATCGGGGGGCTGACTTGTACGTGTTATGTGTGTGGGTGCACAGTGTGTGACAGCAGAGCTGGCGTGACACATGGGTGAGACAATTTCCATCTCATCACAACTCCCCACCCAGATTGGTGGAAGCAAAGAATGTGTGTGGTATGGAGAGTGGGAGTCTATGTGTGCCTGTGTTACAGACAGAGGCTGCCTGTTCTTTTCCTCTTGTTTTTCACCAGCAAGCAGGAAAGTGGGCCCCAATATTTCCTCTGAAAGTATTTTCAGAGCTGATTCTCCTGCTTTACCGTTTGCACACACTTTGAACAACTGTGATTTCTCTGAGATGCCAAGAGAGAGTGGTTACTCCTGCAGGTCCACATCCAGAATGCAACGCTGGCTGGTGGAGTGGCTGTGGGCACCAGTGCGGAGATGATGTTGACCCCATATGGCTCCCTCATTGTTGGGTTCATCTGTGGCATTGTGTCCACAGTGGGGTATGTCTACCTCACGGTGAGTGCTGCTCTGGAGATCTGCAGCCCTGGTTCTGTTGAGGAGACCAGGAATGGATTCACCTCCCTTTGAGGGCTCCTGCTTTCCACTGTCCCTTATGGAGATGCACTTCTGACTCCATTTTCTGCCTCAAAATGCCAAGTGAGGCTCAGTCTCCTAACAGGAGAGTGGAGGAGAGCTCTTATTTTGTCCTAAGCTCATTTCACATATTTTTCTACAAGTCCTTAGCTCTAGAATGGGACACATAATACCACTCTTCTTTCTCTACTTATCCCAGTCCTCCATGAAAGGAACTAATCCTTCCTAGGACTACACTCATTCTTTTGACTTCTCTCTACCTCCCTTTCCTTCAGCCTATTTTGGAGTCCAAGTTGCACATCCAGGACACATGTGGCATCCACAACCTCCATGGCATGCCAGGCCTTATAGGGGGCATTGTGGGAGCCATCACTGCAGCTGCAGCCACTGAGGATGTATATGGAAAGGAAGGGTAAGACAGCTTGAAACTTTCACAAGTATTCTTCTGGGACTTCTGGGGCTCTCTGGGGTGGAAGAGGGAAGCAATTAATAGCATTTGTTCTATGTTCACTGTTATCTCTTTCACATGGGGTGCGCTATGTTGGGCTTAGTGACTTCTGATGTCTTCAAAAAGTGAATCGTAGCCCTGCTCCTTGGTAATATTCTGGGGCACAGAGGATGTGAAAATGCTCGTTTTAGCTCTGCATTGCTCTGAGGCTCAGGTAAGGCTGAAGTTCTGAAATACAAAATAAATGTTTGTATTTTGAACTCTTCCTAGGTAAAACCTCACCAAGAACCATAAAAGAAGGAAGAGAGCAGTGTTTTATGTCTTACAACACTCTCCTAGTCCATTGCAGAAGGTGGATGGGGTTAGGGAGGAGTCCTCAAGGGCTCAGGGCAACAGAGCTCCTCTACCCTGGCTCAGCACAACCTTTTTTCTGACTGGTGAAGATCTTCTGCCAGAATCAGTCCTCACAATTTCTACCCTATGCAGGTTTATCAAGGCATTTGACTTCACCGGCAGCTACAAGACGCGGACGCCCAGCGTTCAAGGAGGGTTCCAGGCGGCCGGCATTGTCGTTTCTCTACTGATGGCTTTCGCTGGAGGAACCCTTGTGGGTAAGCAGGGGGGAAACGTGGAGAGGAGAGAGCCTGCAGCTGGAATGGAGGCATCCACATGCCTTTCTGCCTTGGCTGGATGCGTCCTTGCCGCTTGTGTTGCAAGCGTGGGTCAGACCATAGCCTCCACTTCTGCTCGCAGGGAGATGGGGTGGGAGTTTGTGGGAGACAAGCCCCAAAAACCAGCCCCAATCGGCCCCGCTCTAGGAGCCATCCTGAAGCTGCCCATCTGGGGCGACGCGGCCGACGAGAACTGCTTCGAGGATGACATCTACTGGGAGGTGAGAGCGGGGGCGGCGGGCGGCACAAGATGGCGCTGCCGCCCTCCGCATGAGGGCCGGCGGCGGAGCTGAGCGGGCCGCGCCGTGCTGCAGGTGCCCGAGGACGAGGAGAGCGACGTGTACCACATGCACAACCCCGACAAGGCCGCCTCGCCCTGAGCCGCCATGCTGCCGGGCTGCCGCCGCCTCAGCGGGACGGCGGGGCTGCCCTCGGGGGCGGGAAGATGGCGGCCGCCATGTCAGGAGCAGCGCCCTGCCTGTGAGGAGAAAAGCCTCGTGGCGAAAGCGTGGGGGGGAAACACCCGCTTCCCCACTGGCTCACTTTTGTAATTAGTTCCTGTGAACAAAAAATAAAAGCGTGGCTCTTTTTCATAGTATCGGCCGCTGATGAAAGCGGAGGGCAGCGGGGCACAGCATCCGGGATGGGGCTGAGCCCCTGTGCTGCGATGTGGGGATGATGGTGTGGGTGTGGGAGCTCGCAGTGCTGCCATAGCCTGCTTGTAGAGTAACAGAATGGGGGGGACCCATATGGATCATCAAAAGGCCAACTCCTGGCTCCACACAGAACCACCTAAAAATCAGACCATATTCTTGTGCTGCCCGCCGTCATTTTGTCTTGGCTTCTTTACTGAGGCCTCTGCCAGCTCTTTGTGAGCCTTGCTTGTGCGTGGCGTGCAGACCAGCAAGGCCCTTTCCTCTTCTTCAGTGTCATCCATTTGTTACAGTATCGTCAGTGGGCCCACCAGAACCTGATGAGGTTCAGCAAGGCCGTGTGCAGGATGCTGCACTTGGCTCGAGGCAATCCCAGGTATGCTTACAGACTGGGAGAAGAACCCACTGAGAGCAGCCCTGCGGAAAAGGACCTGGGGGTCCTGGCGGATGAAAAGCTGGATGTGTGCCCACTGTGTGTGCCTGCAGCCTGAAAGGCTGATAGTATCCTGGGTTACATCAACAGAGAGGTGGCCAGAGGGAAGGGATTGTCCCCCTCTGTTCTGCCCTTGTGAGGCCCCCTCTGGAGTGCTGCATCCAAGTCTGGGCCCCTCAGAACAAGAAGGGTGCGGAGCTGTTGGAGCAGGTCCAGAGGAGGGGCACAACAATGCTCAGAGGGCAGAAGCACCTCTCCTATGAAGAAAGGCCGAGGGAGATGGGTTTATTCAGCTTGGAGAAGACTGGGGAGACCTCATTGTGGCTTCCCAGTACTTGAGGAGTGTTTATAAGCAGGAGGGGGACTGACTTTTTACATGGTCTGGTAGTGATAGGACAAGGGGAAATGACTTTAAACTAAAAGGGGAAATTTAGGTTAGATATTAGGAAAAAATTCTGTATACAAGTGATGGTGAGGCCCTGGCACAGGCTGCCAGAGAAGCTGTGGATTCCCCATCCTTGGAGGGGCTCAAGGCCAGGCTGGATGGGGATCTGGGCAGCCTAGTCTGGTGGGGGACACCAGCCATGGCAGGGGGTTGGAACTGGGTGATCTTTAAGGTCCCTTCCAACCCAAGCTGTTCTATGATTCTATGATCAGACCATTCTTTCCACTTTATGGTGCTATTCTGGTGGGAAGGTCCCAACAACAGATCACTGCCTCCATCTGTTAACTGGACCGTCTTCCAGCCGGGAAAAACATCAGGTTTCAACCAGAGTTGAAGAAGACAGGAGTAAAAATCAGGCCTAAAACCTGTGTGTTTGCCAGCATTATATGTGAGGAGCAGGAGAGGAAAAGAGAAGAAAAAAAAAAAAAAAGGTGGGAGGGCTGATAGGTCTCTTCACTGTGTCTAGCTGTAATTCTCACACCTGAGGGGGGGAGTCAAAAGTAGCTATTCACATCCCCTTGGGATATGACACCCTCATTTTCCATGCTGGGTAAAGACAAAAACCCTTTACAACATGTTTCTGGAATTTGTCAGCGGCTGCCAGCAGCAGCATGTTAATTAAATGTCGGCAAAGATGGAAGCAAGAGGCTCTGCTCTAATTGGACACTTTGCTTGGTGGAGCTGAAAAACATTGTGACAGAGGAGGAGGTGCCGAAACACTGTGTTCCCCCGCCATGTCGAGGGGACGGGGACAGCAAGGCATAGGAAATGCACTGTTCTGAACCAAGGCTGTCTTTGCTTAGCCTGAGACAACCTCACTGGTGAAAAAAGGAGGAGTAGCAAAAAAGGAAAAGGCCTAAAATCCTCCACAGGAATCATCACCAGCACAGCAGCAGCGTAGGATGCAGGGAGACAGCTTTGTAGTCTAAGAGGATGTTCAGCTAAATTGCTGATTTAACGGGGCATTCCTGGTTCCTTGGCTATGCCCTCTGTGTTGGGCGCGTCTCTTAATATAGCAGTTCAGCATCCCTAAGTAATAGATGTGAGCTATGAATCTCCCCATCTCATGCCAGGCACTGATGTTATTGTCTGGGATAGTTTTGCTCCTGCCCTAGACTGTCCAGCTGGATCACTCTTTCCACTTTGAACCAGTGCAGGGACAAGAAAATGAGGAGCTTTGAGTTTTTGGACACGTCAGCCCACACATTTTGGGGAGGCAGTGTCCCACTATGGGGAGGCAGCCAGATCTGGCTCCAGAGCCTCTGGTCTGTCTTCCCAACAGCTTGAAAACAATCTCAGGATTCAGTAACCAAAAAACCAAGCAGCCTTCATTGCTTTAGCAAGGCTGTTAGCCCCCATCTCATTCATCTCTGAGCACCAGGACATAGTCCTGCCCCATGTGCTGATGTGGAGGGGAGCCCCAGCCCCACTCCTTGTCCTCTGGGCTCTGCCTCCTCCTCGTGGGAAGACACCTGAATTGCCCAGACTCCTGGGCAGTGAAGCGTTTTATTGCCCATGCTCTCGCGGGGCTCAGTCTGGTCTCAGTACCTAAATCACTCTCTGGGGCCGGCCTTGCAGTTTTAATTCCCTAATGAACAATGCCGGGGTCGGGCCAGCGCGTTTGAAGTGTGGTCACGGCCCCAGCAGTGGACAGAGGGTTTCTCAATGGGGAGCAGAGGATTGGCCTGCTTTGGCAGGCAGGCAGAGGAGGTGTGAGAAAGGAGCTGTTGATACCCATGGGGATTAGGTGGTACAAATTGGCTGGGAAGCACCGGAGGCATTGACCAGAGCTGTCCTGGGGCAGGTTCCCATGGGGGGGCTGCCTGAAACAACCCTCCTTCAAGGAGGCTGGAAGGGCCAGCCTGGCTGCTAATCCCCTGGGAGCTATGGAGCACGAAGCAGAAAAGAGGTTAAAAAAAAAAAAAAAAACAGAGAGAAAATCTCGTGTAAAGATGGTAGTTTCCCCAAGGGGATGATAGAGAGAGAGGGAAGGGGGCGGGAAGGGGGGAAACAGCACCATTTAATCCTGCTTTTAATAGGCAGGTGGTGGGCTTAGATCACACTCCCGCTCCTGCAAGCTGCTGCAGAGATTTTGGAGAAAGGCCGTGCGGACTGGCAGGGACTTCCACATCCTTGCAAAGGATCCCCATCTGTGGCAAGTGGACACGTGCTTATGTCTGTGCCTGTATGTGTGTGCCTGTGTAGGTGTGGGTATACTACGTAACCCCAGGTTGGGGCTGCTGTGGGCTCACCGCATGCCCAAAGTGCGTGCAGATCCCCTCGTCCCCGTGCCCACGTTGCAGCTGTGTGGGTGCAATCTCACATGCACATACACCCAGCACACGCACACTTTCTGAGCACATGCACACACTCCTCGGCACAATGAGCACCCTGTGCCAAGTGACGTTGGCACATCTGCGGGTGCGTGCTGGCATTGCACGCGCGTGTGCCCTTCACCACACCCGCAGGGACACGTGCCAGCTGTCTGGCCCCATCGTGGCTGTGCCAATCCGTGCACCTTTGTGCTGGTGCGAGTGCGTGCGTGTCGGACCTGGTGCGTCCACGCCTGTGTGAAAGACTCTCCAGCCCCTTCTTCAGGAGTGCTGTAAATTGTAATCAGATTAAGGCAGCCAATCACTTAGGGCCCTTGAAAAGGGCATACGTTCCCTAATCAGTACCTAGCATTGAGTCTCACAAAGGGTCTAAGTAACTCGGCAGGGGTCGGGCCCTCTGGAGCGCAGGGGAGGGGGCTTGCCTTTCTTTTCTCTCTGTCCCTTGTAATTATGTCAATTTGCTAGCCAAATTGTTTGCTTGAGTGGACAGTGGGGGCTTGCCCCCCTTCCCGCCTCCCCCCCACCCCCGGCCCCATTCATGTGCTAATGTGGGAAGGAGCATGGCCTCCTGACTTCAGGAGGTGGCCGTGGCCTCTCGAGGAGCAGCACGCGGTGCCCGCACCCAGCCCCGTGTCCGCAGGCTGCTGCCTCCCCATGCCTCAGCGAGAACTTCTGGCCTCCACATGCTGATGGCCATGAAGACATAGTGTTGCTGCTTCTTGAGCTTCTCATCTCATTGCAGGGCTCTGCCATGCCAAGGGATTCACCCCTCTGACTCTGGAGAGGGAACAAAATCTCAAGACCAGCACAGACACAGAGGTGGTGACTGATGGCAGGGAGAGATGGTATCACCATTGATGGACAAGGAGAGATGCTGCCTACATCTCTCATACCTTGTGAGCAGGCAAAGGGCATGCACACCCTGAGCTGCCTGCTGGCACTGCCGGTTGTCCTGAGCCTACAGCGACACGGAGGAAAAGGTGACAGTGAGAGGAAGCTATGCTGCAGGCATCCATGAGCTGTGGAGATGCTGCTGTGACAGACATACACAAGGCTCTCAGTCACCACACTGCCACCCAAGGCCACCTTTCCCCACCCTGCCTTGGGACAGCAGTGAGCGGAGTACACGTGTGTCACAGGGAGTCCCCTCTGCATGCCCCTGGATGTCTTCTCATGCAGCTCAGAAGACCGGGGCCCTCTCCTGCTGGCTCCTGCTTGTGTCACCTCCCTCACCTGCACCACGTCCCCTCCTCACCCCGTCGCAGGGCCGGGAGCTGTGCCAAGCTGCAGAGAAGCTCCTCCGACACACCTCCCCACCCACTCCCAGCATTTGCATATATTCTGCCCGCAAATCCTTGTCAAGGGGAGCCTCTTTATTGCCTGTATAGATCACAGGGTGTTTGTTAAGGGGCTTCTTTGTATTGCCTCAGACAGCTGGGGTCATCAAAAGTCCTGCGGTGGGAAGGAGAGACAGGAGGAGGGGGGAAACCCTGACAATACGGACTGAAGGATTAAAGGAGCATATAAAGTTCCTATTGAGTGAGACAAGAGGCTGTTCACTCCCAAGATTGACAGCAACCAGGAGGCGATTCCCAACACAATGTCCAATTAATTCTCTACCCTCTTCACTGCCGTCTCCTCCCTCCCTCCTCTCCAGGGCTTGTGTATGAGCAGGGAAGGGCTGAAGCTAAGATCCTCAAGAAGGTAATTAATTATTCCTGACCAAGAGGAGCTTGCTGGGGCGTGAGCCTGTCCCTAGGCTCACTGGGTACCTTGTGTCCCAGCCAACAGATTCCATTAGCTCAGGTCACTTCAGGGAGTTTTTCTTTCTGTCACAGGCAAAGCTATCCCTCTGATGGTCTGCAAAATAACCACGGTTAGTGCTGAGCCCAACGGGAAGATTTTGGCTAAATCCAGGCTTAGTTCTTGCCCTGGCAGCAGAGCAAGGTAGTGAGAGAGCTAGGGAGCAGAGCAGGGCATGTGGGCAAGATGCTCAGGCACACAGCATTTAGGGAGAAGCAGAACGGCATGTGTTTGTATTTTGAATTTTAAAATTCTGCATTTTTGATCAAAGATTGTAAATTCTGTGGTTTGGGCCAAAGTGTATTCAATTCCCAGCCAAAAACACCACCTTCGCACTGCCCCTCTTCACACACATCAGACTCCTGTCTGGGCTTTCAGGAATCAACATGGCAGTGTTAGGATCCAGTGAGTGCTGAGGAGAGGAGCATTGAGAGCACAGCCAAGCAGAGCTGGGGGGCACAGGTTGCATTGTCCCTGGTAGGAGGCATTTGTGAGTGTGCTCCGACCTCTCCCACTAACAGCACCTCTGGGATTAACCCCACATATGGGAGAGCAAAGTCTAGGCCACTGTATGAAATTCTTGTAAGCTATTGAATATAAGTTGCTTGATTCGTCTGGTCTATTTTTTTTCCTTTTGAAAATTCATCATCCTGAAGGAAGGGAACAACCAGGAAGGCATCTTCCTCAGAGCTGGTCACCTTCTTTTGTTACTCTGCACTGCTGAGGTGCCCAGGCACATCCTTCCACACCAACAAGCATCTCCAAAACCAGGTTGGGAGGAGCAGGACTGCGAGGACCCAGCTCTCACCACAGGGCAAGCTTTGGCC